ACCAATACAGTCGTAGTGAGCTAAATATCCATAAATGGAGGTATCTACAGCGGTGTCTACCAATTTAGTTGGGATGTAAGCGACCCGATTTTTGGCTCTAAACCGCAATCTCGAATGTATTATATTGTAACAACTTTGATAGGGGATAATTTAGTAGGGTGTCAAGAGAAATAGCATACTCCATGCTGCAATTTGTGACCTCTGCCAAATCGAAGTGGATTAAAATCACTCCTTAAAGTCAAAATGATGAGCCCAAAATTTTCAAAACTTAGATTTAATTTTAAAGTAATTTTTGCCATTGGCCCACTGGAACACGATTTTTTATAGAACTGCCTTCCATATGCATTGAAGAGAACCATTAGCCAGGGTAAAATTTTAATTAAATATGCCAATTAATGGTGGATTCGCTAAATATTACGGTGTGATTTGAGCTTGGACCGGAATAATGCTTATGTGACAGTATTCTTGGGTGAATGGAAGTGTACACTGGAAGTATAAATTGTGTAAGGCCTTATAGTTGACTCTGAGTCAAAGATGTCCACTAATCTAAACGAGACGATGACGTTAGATTGGTGGTGCAGGCAAGCAATCCAACCGGTACAGTGTGGGAGGTGGATGTGGTCAAAGGCATTTGGTCGAATTTCGCAATCATCATGCTAGGTGAGGTAGGCCCAAATACATGAGGAGCGTGCTCTCTGAGATAGAACTCACATAATGACTATGACTGGTGGTGAGCCAATATCGGTGTGAAAATCTAGGGCCGCATAATTGAATAGAAGGAGGTGGTACAATGATTCGTTCTCCCCATTCGCCCCTTGGACATTGACTGGGCAGCTGATAACATAATTCAATAGAAAATATAACAGATGCCCGAGAATTCAGGTAACGGTAGGACACACGCCTGATAATTTTCACACGATTCGGCCCAAAAATGTAACATATAAAAGTCCCTAAAATTGCTTGATCTGCCGTTTTATAAGGTTTTCCAGTAGATAAACATCATTTAGTGACAAAACTTCTATCTGCTAATGCTCACTAATGTGTCAAGTTCAATTCACGTGATACAACTGCAAGAGGGTGTCTAACATGTTGGGGCCCAAATTTTTAGCAATTCTCACAGCAAATACGCACACATTGTAGGAGTACTATACAAGCATAATCTATATAAAGACCTCACATTCTGAAGTTCATCTCCTTATTACCCTGTTTGGAAACTCGGCAGAACGCAAGCCTACCCATTTTCACTGTCGCGCAAAACATAGTGTTATATACAGGTGCAGTTTGGAGCAACTTTGCTATCTTATAAAAATTATGCTGCATTCATCATTACTTGAATAGAAATATCTGAAGGCATTGTAAATATGTTTTTCTATTAGCTGTAAGCGAATATGTATGGTTATCACTTAAATGCATCAAAATATCCAGACAACATTTGATTTATTTATGTCTAAGTAGCAGGACAATTTATTGTTTATTTAGGCTTTTTAAATTTGAAACGAATCATTAAAAATATGTAAAATTTTATTTTAGATAAATAAAACGCTGAAAACCACTATTTAGCATGCAAGAAAGAAAGTGTTTAGTTATAATTAGGATAACAATAGCAATCTGCAGATTTTTAGTTGATAATGTTTTACAACTTCTTTTACCATTACCTTAAGGTACATTGCCTTCACCTACATCCACCACTCCAAATATTGCTCATTTGAAATGGGCCAAACTTCGATTGCTAATTTTTAGCATTTTGATTTTATTGTGATGCACAATCAGCACGAAGAAAAAAAAACAATACTTGCTATTCTACAATCGGTCTATTCTCGCTATATTTACTATAATTATTTGCGAAGGCAACAGTGAATGATTTTGGCAAATTATAGTCGTTTAAATAGCAAAGCGATTTTATTGATGCATTAAATTATAGCATTCAGCAACTAATGCGTGAAAGTATTGCAACCTTAACTTTAGGCAATTTAAGATTTCTAAGCGACCTTACCTTTCCAAGAATATGTTTTAACAATTAGTTTACCGATTCCAGCCGGTGTCATAAATTCCTTTTCCTTGTGTTGAAAATTTTTGGCAGTACTTAGAAACGCCTTTTCTTAAAATTTTTCCTTATAGAAACTGTTAGATGAGGCTATTCAAGGAGCTCATGTTTTGTAAATTACATGTTCTTATGCGCACACCATGCGCATTTTTTCTATCCCTAATGCAGAAAAATTGTGTCGCTGATGTCAAACCGAGTCTTTCGTGCGTGCACACTGCACTGCAGCTATAACGGTCCAAATATCTTTCAGGTAAGATGAGACCTGTTTATTATTAAAGCATTTCTCCAGCAAAAAAAATTAATAACGATGGAATGATGGTATAAAATACATCAAAGTTGTAGCTTATTTTTTTTAACATGGGATATCAATTACTACCTAACATAGACAACACAGCATACCACCTTAACTGCCGTGGGACAAACTTGTCAGCCTTGCGAAAATATTGAAAATTTAACATTGCAAAGAATATTTATTCGATAATTTAAATAGCATGCACATAGAATCGCGTTACACTGTGCTTCAAACGCACTTCTATCTGCTTTCAGTGGCTAGGAGAGCTCTGTGGTGTATTTTTGCGATTTTTTTTCTAATAACGGTGGCTGCTTACCATTGGTAAATCTTACGACAATATTTAAATCATAGTACTTTGCTTTTCTGCATGGTACTATTAACGATCTCTAGTAAAGCTATGGTGATGTAATGTGATCCAATTCAATCAACATTACGCATTTTTTGCGTCTCGGGTATCGTTTTGAGATGAAAATGTCCGTAAAAGTGACCACAAACACAAAAGTGATAGTAAAATGAAGGAAAGGGCTTTAATGAAGTCTCTGGTGGGAGTCAAGCATGCTCTAGTCCAAAAAACCGTAACAAAACAGCTGACTCTAAAGATGGAAATTCCCATATCTCTTTGACCCTCTGGATGAAGTAGAATGGGGATTAAGAACACGTGCTTTCACGCCGTGAGTAGGTAAAACCTCAAGTGAATAGATTCTCGAATCAAATGTGGCCACTCCTGAAGTCGTAGCATCAACACACCTGGCATCAATCATGTCAACGTGGATGCGTCTCTCAAAGTCCCGCTTCACCACTGACAAACGCTCTTATCAGATTTACCTGAGGCGAAGCATAAAGCAGCAATTAAGGGCTATGTGACTGCTGAATACTCACGCGAATGACTGCCGAGACTGTGGACTTGGAACACATACATCACAGCAGGGCTCGACACCGTCGAATAGAATAGCTGTCGCTTTTGACGCCTATACACCATTCCACTTCTTACAACTGAGCAACTCAGTGCCTGAATGAGTATTTTAGATGTGTGCAGGTTCGTGCTTAACGCCTTTGTTTGTCGAAGGCTTAATTCAGCACCCTTCATGCGCT